ATGTTACCTTGTATTACTTCCGCACTTTTACGCACGGAAAAATGCATGCCCGTAAATAATCACATTTGCACAGGCTCGATTTCACAGATAGCCCCATTAATCAACTATTCATTAAATCTTATTACTTATTTGTTTTTTTTTAAGTTTTATTTTATTACAACTATATTATCATTTTATAATCATAATGTAACAAAGAAAAAATATAAATTAATAACACCAATATTCATCCTATCTTAATCAAATTATTTAATTATAATAATTTGATCTCATCTTGTTCTCGATATAATACGATGATAATACGATTTTTGATGCATTCATATATCGGACGGTTTCTCCCATTAAAAATTTATGAAACAATTTTTTTAAGCAACTGTGATCAACTATCAACTTTATTTTTCAATTATTGTAGCACAACAAAAAATTTTTGTATAGTTTCTTCTTGTTTCTACAGATTTTGATTCAATCATTTATTTCGAATTTTATGATGTAAATATATTGCTGATTCAGAAATTGAATCTTTTCGAGCAAGAAATGCTTTTCCAAAAAAGGATTTATACATGACGATATAATTATGAAATGTATTACATGAAATTAGAAACGTCAAGCTAATATAAATATTTTTCAGAATACTAAATGATTCCTAGCAAAAGTCTGGAAGTGTTTTATATCGAGCTTGTAATAATGTCTAATATCGATATCTTTCTCCGTGCGTGGAAGAAAATGTAATCTACAGATATTTCCCTGAAAAAAGAGTAAAAATGTGTGCAATGAATGATTTTTACATTGAACAACACTACTACTATTATTATAACAATTCAATTATAATGGCAAATCATTGGATCCATCCGCGTTTAGACTCATGGAATTTGGATTCTTCGATCCTTGACTTCATGGATTTGTGGTATAATTATATTTAACCCTTTCGCGCATCCCACGCGCGCAATTATATAAACGAATTTTATATAAGTTTTTATAAAAACTTTGCAAGCATATTTTAAAACCGTATTTTAAAACCGTAGACCGTAAAAATAATCGTAGATTATTAAAAGGCGAAAGGGTTAAGCAGATTGTTGAATCCTTGTAGATTTTTGCAATCTCTTCGAGTTATTCCCATATTTGGAAACATGTTATTCAAGTATTTGTATGTCTTAATCCATTAGCGCTCAAAATCTTCATCGGAAATTTAGTGATTAATGATATCCAAAAAAATGATATCACATTAAGAATAAAAGACAAGTATCGAGAAATGAGAAAAATTTATCAATAACATACGCGTGCCGCTGGGCGTTAACGGATTAATAATATTTTATCATTTATGTAAGATCATCGCAAACGTCAGATTGTTATATCTGCCAAATGCATTTAATTTTAAGAAGAACACCTTTAGTCGCACTTAAAAATGAAAAATAATTTTGAACCAGGCCAAGATAAAGTATACACGATGCGATATATAAATAATCATTATACTACAATGCATACAAGTAATCGAGCGCAATTAATCACTATACAATCACACTTATGCAATTTAAAAAGGAGTTTTATATTAAAATGTTACGTGCCACTATATAGTATCAATAACAATTTTGGTTGATTTTATACGTAATCACCATGTTCTTACTCTATATTGGACGAGTATGACCGGTGCACCGCGGGTGCTAAAGAATTTGGCATGTCCTCGATTAAAGAGTCCTTGCAAGTCCTCGCAGTCCTAGTAGTACAGAATAGCAGGCCAGAATATGTATATGCGTGTGTATGTGGATGTGTGTGAGAAATTTGGTTGTACTATGTATAAATGTCGATAATTAGTAATAGGAATGTGGCATATGTGTTGGGACGCGTCGCGTGGTTGAAAAGTTCGTAAGTCAGGAGGAGGATCTGCAGCTACTATAGGACGCAGGATCTAACGTGGTTTCCAAGCTTCAA